TTAGTGCAATTCACGGTTAATTTGGGGCATTGGGAAATTCATGGTTTATTGAGAAGCAATTGGAAATCGTTTTGTATGCAAGTGTGACATGTGTGGAGAAGAACCCCTTAGCTAGCTTTCCATCCATTCACTTCTATCAAATTCGTTTTAGAATCTGTTCAATTTATAAAGTTTGTTCTTGTTTTCAATTTTCGTCAAAACTCAATCCCCATTTATTTTGAAGTGTTAGATTAGTTAGAAATCAATTTAGTTTGTGTTTTTAAGTGTCTTGAGTCAAGTCATAACCCAATTTCGTCCAATTTAGTGTTAGGTGTTCAAAACTGCCCAGAAAGTGTTTTTAAGGCAGTTTTGAGTGTTTATTTGTTGTTTTGAGTCTTTTGGTTTGTTTTGGTGTTTTATAGTTTAGTTTTGCATTCTTTGTGTCTAGTTTAGTGTTTTAAACTTTGTTTTTACGTTTTGAGTCAATTTTAAGTGATTTGGCAATCCCTCCTAATCTCCGGCCTAGAACGATCCCTACTTACATACTTTGCTACAATTGATAAAAAGAGAGTTTAATTTGTGTGCTTATATATTTCGCATCAAAACGTGCGCCCACTATTTCACCCCCACTATTTCACCGTAAACCATTTTCAATTGCGTGTGGACGACGGTTGGCCATTTCTTCTTCCTCCCCCGCCCCAATTAAATAATTAAATAACAGAAAAGAACAAACTCTACGTGTGTTAAAAAGTGTGCTAACAAATGTGTTCATATCAGAATTTTAAATTATTGATTTGCTTTTATTTATAACTTTAATTTTCCTTTATCTCTTAAACAAAGCAAAATTTTTACTTAATTTGTTTTAGACAAAAGAGATTGAGACAGAGCATACTTTAACTCATCATCCTCTCACTCACACTAAACTAATCCAATTCAATTACCAAGAATTGTACTGAATTTTACCTTTTACCTTATTTATTGCAATTTTTTCTCCTCTTCTTATAGTTCTTATTCAACTAACTATTATGGTCTAGTGGTATACCTTTTTATTTATAAGTGAGAAGTATTGGATTCGATTATCGCTAAAGATGAATTTGAAACCTCTCTCCTTTGTGTAGCAGATCCCCTGTAATTAAAAAAACATATATTTTCCATTTAAATTTTAGTCGGTTAACATCTAGCATTATGATAACATAATAGAAAAGATTGCTAATTATACACAAAATATTTGGTACTTGAATTTCCATATATACCCTTCTTGTACGCGGTTTCGGCCTTCAGAATGTTTCTTTCCGTATATATAAATCCAAATGTCATAACTTCATAATCTCTCTCTTCCTCTCTCGTAACTTTCTCACAGAGGCCTGCAGTGTTTGCTGTCTGCTTGATTTCTTAGACAAAGCTCCGCCCTCCCCTGCCGACTCCTCCTCAAGTTTCCATTTACTGCCGTCACAATGGCCGACCGAGTCCACCCCCGCGACCCGCCCCTACACAACGAGACGGCGCCGTTTCCTTACACCGCCTCACCGGAATCCCCCCGAAAGCCCTCCCCTCCGGAGTCCGAGAAGCCAGTCCCTCCGCCGGGCACCTACGTCATCCAGATCCCCAAGGACCAAGTCTACCGCGTCCCGCCGCCAGAGAACGCAACCCGCTACAAGAATTACACTCGCCAGAACCCTCGCCGAAGTTCCTGCCGCTGCTGCTTCTGCTGGCTCTTCGGCCTCGTTGCTGCCCTCATCTTCCTCTCCGCCGCCGCCGCCGGCATCTTCTACCTCGTGGTCCGCCCCAAATCCCCCAACTACTCAATCGATAGCATCGCGTTCAGAGGATTCAACTTGACGGCGCCGTCCCCGTCCCCGTCCTACGCCATCTCTCCGGAGATCCAGGTCACCGTTCGAGCCCAAAACCCTAACAAAAAGATCGGGATCTACTACGGAAAAAAGAGCTCCGTCAAACTCTTCTACTCCGACGTCAAATTGTGCGACGGAGCTCTGCCGGCGTTTTACCAGCCGTTAAAGAATGTAACGGTGTTCCAGACGGCGTTAAAGGGGTCGGGGATCGAGCTGACGAGCGCGGCGCAGCAGGGGTTAGTGGATGCGCAGAAGCAGGGGAAGGTGCCGTTGGGATTGGACATAAGAATGCCCGTTAGAATTAAAGTGGGGCCCATAAAGACGTGGACGATTAATGTCAAGGTTGGGTGTGATCTAACGGTGGATAAGCTGACGACGGAGGCCAAGATTGTGTCAAAGGACTGTGATTACAGTGTGGATCCATGGTGAAAAATCAATCAACAGGGAAGATAAATGAGAGTATATATATATATATATATATATATATGTATGATTAGTTTTGTTAATTGCTTTAATTTGTTAACTAAATATGCTTTAGATTTATACGGTTACGATTGTACCTATTGCAGACTTGTTATTTAGCCACACAAATGTTTAGCTATAATTTTAGAGAGGGGTTATTCCCACCTCCATATCTTATATTCCCACCCACCATTTTATGAATTTTTTAATTACAAATTTGTCCATTTGTAAAATGACTAGTAAGGACCTTAGTTACCTTCTTTTGCATTACTTTTTTTTAGAAAAGAAAAAAGAAAAATTTGGGTGTGATAACTTTCACGCTATGTTTAGAAAATTTGTCTCCTATAAACCTTTACTCATCATTCTCATCTCCTTTCATTCAAAGAAAACAAAAAGAATGAACTTAGATGATGACATTTCTATGGAAGAAGTATATCATTATATTTCCATCGAAGAGATAAAAGATAATTTTACGTGGGTCATCTTAATTTGTTAACATCGTACGATTGAAGCATTGCGTGACTTTTTATTTGAATTTGCATTAGGTTATGGTGCAATTTGTTTTACGTTTTCCTATGAGAATTCCTGGAATTCGTTTTCACTAGATTAGGGTCGATTTGTTTTTTTAATGAGTTTTCCTTGAATAACCGTTTCCCTCTTTTCCTTTCTACAGTATTGTTGAATTTTATATAATTAATTGCCCTTCGAATAACCAAAAGGTGAAACACAAATCTCACACCATTTGCTTCATACTAGGCACACATTGTTTCAAAGCCCTTTGATGGTGATAAACTCCATGGCTTCATCCTTGGTTCGTTTTCAAACATTTGGTTTCAGTTAATTATTTTAATTTTGAAATCGAAGTGAACTCCGAAAACAAATATATATTCCTATTTCTTTATTTCTGAACTTTTTCTCAGATGAGCCCTTGAAATTTGGAAAGGGGAAATGCATATGAAAAAAAAAAACAAAGAGGGAAATTCAACGAATGAAAACCCATAATTTTTCATTCCCCACCCCCCTCCCCCAGTTGGAATTTGGAAAGGAAACGGTTTTTTTTTTTTTTTTTGGCTTTTAGAAGAAAGTAATATTATTTGTTTATATATTTTTTTAAGATAAATTTATCTCTAATTATATATAGGGTTATTTTAGGAATAATAGTGGGTGGGAAAATAACATTTTAATTTTTTAAGTTTTTATAGTGGGTGTAAATATAACGTAGGTGGAGAAATAAGACAATGGGGTGGGTCTAGTAGCTCTCTAATTTTAATATATATGTTCTTTGATAATTAGTTTAAAAAAATAAAAATAAAAAATACCTCTCTTTATTTTTTGTATTTTTATTAATTCAGTAGTAATTTTTATTTTGTTGAATATTGATGTATTGGAGAGCTAGAAACTCTTCTTGCCAACCAAAAACGCTTACAAGTATCACTTTGCAAAAAATACTTCAATCATAAAAACGTTTTTGGAAAAAAATTAATTCCGAGTAATTCATAAGAACGCACTTAAATTTAAAAAAAAATATATCAACAAGACTTTACAGTAACTACAAATACGGTATATATAGTTGCCATTGGAATTTTCAATAGGGAGTAATTCCTATTTTGAAGTTTCATCAACTCATGCCAAATTCGAAATCAAATTAATTTTGAAAATTCAAACTTTAGGGAGTTGTAGTATGGCTTCAACTATGCCAAAATTAAAAAAAAATTAAAAAAAAATCCCATTTCCATGGCTCTCCTACGATATATACTCTTATAGTTTTTTTTTTTTTAATTTTTTTTTATTAACTGGAGATGGATTGTCTACCCTCCCATTTCCATACTCTTCTCATCCCCTCATGTTTGTGTGGTCGCGGTTAAGCCACGTCAACATTTAATATTGATTTTTTTTATAAAAATAATAAAACAAAAGTAATAGGAATATAAATTATTGACGTGGCTTAACCGTAACCACACAAAACATGAGGAAATGGAAAAAGTAAGGAAATAGGAGGGCAGACAATCCACCTCATTATTAACTACCTACAACTTGATTTCAACATTTTTAAACATTTCAAACAAGTATTCAATCTTTTGAAAATGTCTCATCCGTTACGTCCCTTTTTTGTTTTTGTCAAATGTATATGTGGCAACAATGGATTCCACTTATTTGCTTACTTGGACACTAAAATAATGATAAACCAACTTCAAGAAAGACATAGAAGATGAAAAAGTAAAAATAAATAAATAAATTCACCAATAAACTGGAAAACAAAAATGAAGATCGAGAAATCACCTAACAAAAAAGAGAAATAAGAATTTAGATAGTTTGCTCATGTGGTTTTCTCATTCGCTGATTTTGGGCCAATAAAGCTTCGAGTTCTTCTTCGTGCTTCATCAAACTGCATCACATCCAGAAATGCCCAAAGACGAAGAACTAAGCAAAGAATGCTCAACCAAGTCTGAGGAATAGAAAGCATAAGCACACCTAAACATAGAGAATGATGTTGATGACAAATCTGGTAGCTATTTAACAAATTAAAACATATCTAAAATCAATAAGTTCATAATTAAGTGTATTTCGAGAATGCGAAATATTCAAATACATGTCAAATCCTAATCAATTCTTTAAAAATCGGTTGGAATCAAATATTCCTATCCAAGTTGCACCCCTCGGTTTGAGTGCTTATGCAAGTCCACGAACAAAATAAAAATCAGGTGGAAGAAAACAAAAACAAAAAATAAATAAGAATCATTAAAGATCATGGTAGAAAGAAGGATGAAGCTTTCTCGGACTTGCTACAAGAAAAATACTAGACAAGATTCTGTATGTTACAAGAGCCACCCCCACCCCCAAATTTATAAATTTATAAGTACACCCAAACTCAAATACCAAATTTTATTCAACTTCCTTATTTTCTTCCCTTTATTTTTCTCTTGATATACAAATGCCATCATGTCCAATTGAACTCGTATCCAAATCCCTTTCCTTTGTTGGTACTTCGGTATATTTCCTCCCCTAGTCCTATGCATTCAGTCCTTCAAAGTGACGAAGATTGAGCTTTAAGCTGTTCGTAATTGCTCTTCGCACGCTGGATCGCCTTCTGAAGGTCTACATACGCCTCCACAGACGACTCTGCAAAGTTGTTCAACTTACCGATAAATCCCGCCAAGCTTGTTTGGAAATGGTCGAAACCAGAAACCCCATCTTGCGAAACTTCATCTCTTAACATATTGGCAGCAGAATCACTACCGTTCTCATGCTTCCAGGATGTTAAATCAGATTGGCCTGCATCCTTCCCCTCTTTCTTTTCTTGCCGTGGTAGAAAACGGGAAGTTTCAGATGCTAAAGTCTTTATAGAATCTTCCACTTCTTTGGCAGGTAAGCTGCCAAGCTTTTCCAACCAGACACCACAGGTGACATATATTGGAGGGCCATAGTTCCTATAGGGAGTTTCGTGCTGCCTCCTTTTCTTTTTGGAAGACTTCTGTGGAAAAGAGACGCATTTTAAAAGCCATCCATCTATAGACTGCACATAGGACTTTTGAGCACCAATCCACTTTGTAAAACTTGATGATAGAGAGCTGAGCTCGTCTTTAAGATGGATAGTAATCTGACGACGTGATTCTGACTGTACAGAGATTTTGGTGTTGCTGTTGTTGTAAGCTATTGAGATTATGTGAAACTGAAGCTTGTGACATTCAAGCATCACCTCCCACATCCGCCTTAACCTAAAATTTGGTGCAAAGAACTAAGCAAATGATCCTCGAAGTGAAGCACTCATAAATCATAATATTCACATCAGGGCAACACATTAACATATAGGATTAAGACAAAAATTAAACATTTATTATTTCCTTGTTCTACATTCCGTCGTTGCCCAAAACATATATGTATCACCTTGTTTTTAGCAACCTTTTTCAAGGTTCCAACACAACTCATACTGGTTATTACGAACAGCCATAAAATAAGAGAAATAAACGCAGAAATACGCAAAGCTTTTTTTTCTGCATCTAGGCATGGTACCACATTTCAAACTTTATTGGTTTCCAAAATTGAGTTTCTAGGACGAATAATTAAGCACTAGCAAATAGGAACATGCAAATACATACCCTTCAATCAACTCTTCGAGTTGAGGCTGGAGCTCTTTGTCTCGTAACTCCTCAATCCTCTTCGATATTGAGTCAATTCTGTGAATAGCCACTCTGATTCTAGAATGTAGATCCTTGACAACAGCACGAGTTTTATCAATTTTTTGAGAACTTTCTCCTTTTGATTCTAGTTCCCTTAGAATCTTACACTTCAAGTCATAATCCCTTCTAACCATCTCACTGGCCTGAAAATAAGAATTTGAATAAGTTTATACAAAACATGGCAAGACCCATATACTCTGCATATAAAACTCAATCAACTAAGGAAATCTACAAAAATATATGTTTTTTAGTTTCAGCCATAATATATCTGAAATTTCTGATATATTCAACAGTTGGAAGTCAATTTAAACTGGACCTAATGGTATTTAGGGCTCACTTGTTTTTTAAATTATAATAAAGTGAAGATTCCAGCACAAAGCATGAAAAGGTAGAGACTGGCATGTCGGCAGTAGGCACATTTTAAGTAGATGTCAATCTATAAAGCATCGAGAAAACAAACACAACGGTGAAGCCACAAAATTGAGCATAGTTTCTACAACGGTATCAAGCTGCTATGATGCAAGTCACCATTTTTACACAATAATGTTGTTATTGTCTCTATCCAATTCCTCCCAAACGGTTGAACATAACCATATGTAAGGATAGGGTTAAATAAAAATAGCCGCCGTAATGTAGTTTAAATTAACAAGTTTGTTTAATTATTTCCTGTAATAAAATTTCTATAGAGCAAACTGTATATTTACTGTTCATTTGGAGAAAAACAAACAGCAAAATATCACACTATTAACCAAGAAGCCATAACAATCATTATGATTATAAACGCCATAACTACTGCTAATTTATCAATAGTACCTTGACTTCATCATAAAGCTTCCTCTCCCACGCATATAACCTATCCAAGGTTGAGGCATGACTGCCTGAATTCATGCAGAAGTTGTCAAAGAGGTTACCAGTATGATCATCAGTATCATCTTTTAAGTTTGCTCCCAAAGGATTCCTCGATGAAGAGGATCGAGATGATGTCGTCCTATGCCAAGTTAAGTACTTCACAGCAGTTTCAGGAGGCTCTGGTGAACGTAAAAAAAGAATCAGATCAAAAAGCAAGGTACCAAGATCAAGACACCCTAAATGAAAAGGAAGGCTAAAATTAAAATTAAAACCCTATCATACAACGATGTTAATGAACTCTAACCACTGAACATCTGAATGGTACCTTGTGTACCTACCACGTCACTTTCAACAGTGATATATCATTATGTACATATAGATGAAATAAATATAGTGAAAACACACAGATTCTGCTGCACTTCCTCCTCCAATTTTTCACACGGTTGTGACAAAAGAAACTAAATGAGGAATGAAAGATAAATGCACCAACATATTGATGCTAACTTATATTTTCTGCAAAAAGTAAATATTGGGGGATACCCCCACAGTAAAGTTCATTGATCTGAACCATCTATTATTTAGGTCCTTCCTTAGGGTCATCCCAGCAAATGTACAGTAGCACTCCAATAATAAATTTTAGCCTGAAAAACTATTTCTAAACGCTGAAGATACTGGCTGATAAAACAAATTCTCTCTCACAGAAAATCCACCTCCTCCTTAACTCTAAAAGACTAGATGCCATTAGAAATAGTAAAAAAAAAGGTCGTACCCAGTGCACAAGGCTCCCGCTTTACGCAGGGTCTGGGAGAGGTGAATGTCGGCTAGCCTTACCCCCATTTTATGGAGAGGCTGCTCCCAAGTCTCGAACCCGAGACCTACCGCTCATGGGCGAAGGCACTTGCCATCGCACCAAGTGCGACCTCTTGCCATTAGAAATAGTATTAAGAAATTATAATGCTCCCAGTTTTATTCTTCTAAATACAACTTTTGTTCTAGCACGTTGCCACACACCCGAGCTTGCTCAAACATTTCGGGAATCTAAACTTTTAACTTGCCTAAGACTTTCTTGTTATCTAAATCTTTTGGTGAGACTCTTCTCTAATGTAACTAACCATACCAGAGCAGTTTTTGGTAGTACAATACTAGTTTTTCCTGAGAAGTATAACCAACTTGTGCATAGCCCTGCCCAGTTTCTAGACTTGACCAATAAGATCAATTACAAACCTGGATAAACTAGTCATGTATATTGACATTACATGGAATCATACCACTCAAACAGAAGTGAAATTGAAATGCTTTCACATGAAGTTGGTTAAAATTGATTTTGATAACGTAGGCAATGATACCACATATTTCTAATTTTTAGTAGGGAAAAATAAAAAAAAATAAAAAAAAATAAAAAAGGATAGACATCAATCAGAGTGTAAATTTAGGATTACATGAAGGCACCTTTGCATTGTGCGATACAACACACTTTGAAGAAAAAGGATAGAAATCAATCACCCTAATAACCACATGTAGGATATCAACAAAAAACATTTAACATCCGTAGTGTACAGCACCATATTGATTTGAAAACAAACGGAAACCCCATAATAGCATTTTTTGCACTAGACCTATGAGGGTTAAAAACCAATGTATCTGTCACGCATCTACAGTTAGGGATATGCCCTGAAAGTCAATCTTTAGAAGAAAATTTTCAGGATATTGTCTGAATGTTTAGTTATGTCTAATACAACAAATGGGCAAAGTCACTTATCAGGTCTAATACAACCTATGCTTCTTGAAGGGAATTTGCATGACTATAGCTTTGATATATATATGCTTCCATTACTCATGTATGAAATTCTGAATTGTATATGCATGCTAGTCACTAGAAATCTCTATATTTCCCTTCATCTATGACATTAAAAATTAAAATAAAAAGCTTACAGACCAGATACAAATCCCTCTCTTTGTTATTCAGTTCAAGTCTTTGATGCATCAAGTCTAAATCTATGCTTCTTGAAGGGGATTTGCATGACTATAGCTTTGATATATATATGCTTACGTTACTCATGTATGAAATTTTGAATTGTATATGCACACTAGTCAGTAGACATCCCTATATTTCCCTTCATCTATGACATAGAACATTAAAATAAAAAAATTACAGACCAGGAGGCCTACCTTCCTGAACTTGACTTGGGTCTTCACCGCAAGAGAAACAACCCTTCAAGAATTTAGATGAAATTGATCCACCTGCTACAGTAGAAATCCCAGTATTCATATCTTTCACCAACAGACTATCAAAAGAAAACAATTTTCTAATGGTCTAACATGAAATTAACTCAAAATATTTTAGAATATCCATTTCTTTTTTCAATCTTATATGTTCCATGATTTACATTTCTTTTTTTCAATCTTATATGTTCCATGATTAACATGCATCTTTTTTCAATCTTATATGTTCCATGATTTAAATGCATCAGATTCATATAAGCAGGATATAAAAACAGGAGTGTTCATTACATCCCACAAACTGTTGATTGTAACGTACCCTACTTACCGCATAAACCAGTGACACTATTCATCCTTGGATAACTAAAACGAGTGAGAGAGAGAGAGAGAGAGATCTTACTTTCTTTTTCCTGGAATATTGGACGAAAATGAAACTTATTTGCTTCAAGCATTCTAGGAATTTCTTTGCCAGCCTCGAAAGCTCTTATAAAGAGAATTTCAATATCCTTCATGCTTGAAAAAAAATCTTTTGGGGCAACCTTACTTTCAAAATCTTCTTTAACTGTTGTTTTAATTGAGTCAGTTTCAACTGCAACTGGTGAGGATGTGGATCTCAATGGTGACAAATCTGGAGTGTTACTTTTCTTCCCATTCAATAACTCAGTTTCAGAAGTTACACTTCCTGCAGAAGGCATTGTAGGTGAAGCACTAGCTTCAACATGATCCTGTACTCTATTAAGATTTTCAAAACTTCGAACCAGGGTATCTGTAGCAGGCTCATCGAATTCATCTTCAGAATCCTGAGATTCTTCCCTTCCATGAAAAGAAGCCTTCTCTTCTTCATCTTCCAGATCAGGAATTCCCTCCTCTTCCCTAAGCTGTCTCATATCATCGTTATTTTCAAACCCCTGGTTCATTCCCTTCCCTTCTTGGAAAGAAAATTGATGGTCAATTGGATTAAAAAAATCAAAGTAATCCCATGGTGGAGTTTGTGGTGGGAGTGACGAAGCTTCAAATAGTGATATTTGTGGTGGGAGTGACGAAGCTTCAAATGGTGATGTTTCAGGTTTTCCAGCAGATCGAGGTGTGGTATTTTGTGGGGTGCTCGAGGAGGTTAGTGTTGCAGTAAGAGGAATAGGAGGCTTTTCTTCAACTGTTTTAGAAAAGCCGCCCCTGAATTTCATATGATTTGCCTGAAATCGAGTAGAATTTGGAGGAGATGGAGATGGTGAGAACGTTTCAGCTGCATCCATGCGTGTGATACAGATGGAGAGGAAAAAGAGAATTGAGAAAGACTCTTGCCAGTTTGAACAAGAAGCTCTGGGGTTGCACTAGTGGAAGTGTACAAGGAAGACTCAACAGGAGCCCCAAGATCGACAAATATCCTAAGAGCTGTTCCAGTATTCTTTAGCGATTGAATATACATAAAATGAGCCGCTGCTAGCGAGCACCTGCCGTCAAGTGCCAGTTTAACAAACTTCTTCCGTTCTCGACATAGCTGCAGGGCCTTATCCTCTTCTATTTTAGAGTTTGAGGCTCCCATATCTGTAAATTTGGCCTAATATCCCTCAAATTACATATCAGAACATGAGATTCTTCCTGAAACTGAATTTAATGAACGTGTTAGACAATGAGAAGCAAGTGCACTGGGAAATATGTATCCTTTTCGTAGCAGGAGCACACGTTAAATTAGAAATAATAAACAAAATATTTAGAAACAGATCGAAAACACAAGAAAATCAAAATTACAAGCCAGGAAAGCAAAAAAGAAAATTCAACAAGGGAACCCCAATGGAATGAACAGAAACAGATGTCAGAGATAAGCTGAAGAAATCAACAGAATCCAGTAGAAATATACAAAATCTTATCAGGGATCAAATAACAAAAACTAATTAACCTGTGTAAAGCAAAGCAAAGAAGAGAATTGTTCCAAGTAAGCAAGTCACTGACCCAGCTTGTTTGCTTCTTGTTTATCTCAAAATCATGTAATTCAAGGGCCAGATTGATCCCTGGAAGTTCGAAATTCAAGGACTCTGCAGTTGAACAACACACAGACGGACGAGCAGATTACAATATATAAACACCAAACGAAGGAACCCCAATCTCAACCACACCAATCAACCAACAATCAAAGAATTTAGAGAGAGAGAGAGAGAGGGATTGGGTGTACCTGAGAGAGAGAATTTGATCCAAGGTGATGGCCTGGACTTCAGAGTACAAGAGAGAGACCGACCAGAGACGGATGAGAGCAGCAGTGTCTCTTCGTGTGTATGTATATAGATTTATTATTATTATTATTATTATTATTAAAAGGGCCTAGAATAAAATAAAATAAAAATTGTAAATTAATACCAAGCTCATATTTTCCACGCATGTACTGATTTCGATTCGTAACGATAATGAATCGTATGGTGGTTAAGGAAAATTTAAAATGATTTTGTAAGTCTTTTTAACTTCTAAAAGATTAAATTGATATGATGGAGCCATCGTAGTTAAGTCTGGTTTTAAAATAAAAATAAAAAGAAAGAGAGAATAATAAAAAAAGAGATAAATAAAAGGGTTTGTGAAAAGGAGGAGAGGAGACGAGAGGAATCTGATGGCGATGGATTGGAGGAAAAAGGCAAGAGATGAGTGCGGTGGACCCCACTCTGTCCAATACTCTCTTCCGCCTGCTTTCCACTTTCTTTCCTTAAATCGATCCAATCTATATTCTGTCTGACGCTCAATAGTATTTTCATTCCTTCATTATTCTTTCTTTCTTTCTTTCTTTCTTTCTTTCTTTCTTTTTATATATAAAAGCTAAATAATAAATAAACATTCCTTCCTATTTCCTAAAATTCCTATATGGAAAGATATGATGATGATGTTGACGAGGACGATGATAATGTTGACGATGATGATGACAATGATGATAATGTTGATGACGATGCGTGAAACCTAAGTTGCAAGAGTAGTGCAACTGTTGTTCGCTAACATAGTAAAAAATTGGATAGTATGAGTAATGCTACATTTATTATCTAGTTGTATACAATCTCTTTAATAGAGATAGAGTTCGTCAATGTATGTGAATCTCATTTCTATTAAAATGATGATATAAGTGATGGTACAAATAAATTGTAAGAAAAACATTTTTGGTATACAAGCGAAATTTCCTCTCCCTACTTCACTTCCTTGCATAATCACTTCTTTTTCCTCTCTTTGAAGAATCTATTTTTCAAGTTACATCTCATAGATCATCCTTGCAAAATATTTGAAGCATCTAATTGAGTTCAAAGAAATTGACAACACCATGTTATAAGCAACATTAAAATTTTATTGTGATATTTGAATAAGCAAATTGTTTCGGAATGAATTGTTTTATTGCAAGGGCAATCTATGAATGGAGATTGAAAAATAGATAGTTTGAATCGTTCAAATTCAATATGGTGTTAGTCCCACAATTAAACCCCATTATAAAAGAATTAGAGATCATTTCCATTAAAGACCCTATGTAGATATACACTAAGCAGACAATGTCTTGAGAGAAAATGAAACCTTTCCCCAGTTGACATTGACGAAGTCATCAACTTCCTCGATATTGATTTAACGACCCAATGAACTATTATCATCAATTAATGAATTAGAACTTCCTTCAATACTCCCTTTTAATTAGACCTGGCAGTTTTTGACACGACATGGTGACACGACACGAAAACGACACAAAAATAACGGGTTTCGGGTCAACACGATAACTTATCGGGTCACTATCGGGTGACCCGTTAAGAACCCGTTAATAACGGGTTCTTAACAGGTATACACGCGGGTAACACGTGGGTAACCCATTTCGACCCGTTAAGAAAAAAATTATTTTAATAATTTTAAAGTTTAATTACTAAAAGATTTATTATAAAATACAATAGTCATATTAATATATACAATATATTCTATATTAAATATATAGTTTTGTATTATTGTTCTATATAAATTATAAAAAAATAAAAAAAAGTTTTAGTCATTATTTATTTTTATTATGAGAGTTCCTTATTATCATTACTAGGATAAATTTTACATAACATATTCTTGTCCAAAATTAAAATATACTAGTATAATATTTGTATATGCAAGAACTAAGAAGACATACATACAAGTATGAAAAATGTGAAAGAATATATAAACACTCGTGATTTATCATTATTCCTTCACGAATAGATAATTGTTACACTTATATTATCGTTTAGATTTTTAAAATCCTTCAAACCCTCATGAATAATGTTTTTTATTTGAGGGCAAAATTAATAAAATTAATAATAATTATTGTAGAAGTGTAAAAAATGTAAAAAAAAATATATACAATCACTCATATATAAAAAATGTAAATACTTTAAATTAAAGATCAAATTTATTCATTACATTCTTATAGGGTCGAGGAGTGTATATGTACAAAATCATCAAAATCGGAGCTAAAATAACCGTTAAATTGTGATTTTTCGTTTATAACCGTCGAAAACTTTTGTTCCGTTACGTAATCTCTGAATGTTTGTTTTTTACAATTTTTTACGTTTGCAATCTCGGAATGTGTACAAATAAGTTTGACGGTTGGATCGTTGAAAAAAGTTTCGTATAATGCATATTGCATCAAAACGGTAGATTAAACAAACACTTAGAGTTAATATTATACTTCTATTAAGTATAAAATAAGTTTTTGTGGTATCCACTAGTGTAAATACTTTAAATTAAAGATCAAATTTATTTATTACATTCTTATAGGTTCGAGGAGTGTATCTGTAAAGAATCATCAAAATCGGAGCTAAAATAACCGTTAAATTATGATTTTTCGTTTATAACCGTTGATAACTTTTGTTCCGTTACGTAATCTTTGAATGTTCGTTTTTTACGATTTTTTACGTATGCAATCTTGGAATGCGTACAAATAAGTTTGACGGTTGGATCGTTAAAAAAAGTTTCGTAGAATGCATATTGCGTCATAATAGTAGATTAAACAAACACTTAAAGTTAATATTATACTTCTATTAAGTATAAAAAAAGATTTTGTGGTATCCACTAGTGTAAATACTTTAAATTAAAGATCAAATTTATTCATTACATTCTTATAGGGTCGAGGAGTGTATCTGTAAAAAATCATCAAAATCAGAGCTAAAATAACCGTTAAATTGTGATTTTTCGTTTATAACCGTCGAAACCTTTTGTTCCGTTACGTAATCTCTGAATGTTTGTTTTTTACATTTTTTTACGTATGCGATCTCGGAATGTGTACAAATAAGTTTGACAGTTGGATCGTTGAAAAATGTTTCGTAGAATGCATATTGCGTCAAAACAGTAGATTAAACAAACACTTAGAGTTAATATTATACTTCTATCAAGTATAAAATAAGTTTTTGTGGTATCCACTAGTGTAAATATTTTAAATTAAAGATCAAATTTATTCATTACATTCTTATAGGGTCGAGGAGTGTATCTGTAAAAAATCATCAAAATCGGAGCTAAAATAACCGTTAAATTGTGATTTTTCATTTATAACCGTCGAAAACTTTTGTTCCGTTACGTAATCTCTGAATCTTTATTTTTTATGATTTTTTACGTATGCAATCTCGGAATGTGTACAAATAATTTTGACGGTTGGATTGTTGAAAAAAGTTTCGTAGAATACATTTTGCGTCAAAACGGTAGATTAAACAAACACTTAAGAGTTAATATTATACTTCTATTAAGTATAAAATAAGTTTTTGTGGTATCCACTAGTGTAAATACTTTAAATTAAAGATCAAATTTATTCATTACATTCATATAGGGTCGAGGAGTGTATCTGTAAAAAATCATCAAAATCAGAGCTAAAATAACCGTTAAATTGTGATTTTTCGTTTATAACCGTCGAAAACTTTTGTTCCGTTACGTAATCTCTGAATATTTTTTTTTTACGATTTTTTATGTATACGATCTTGGAATGTGTAAAAATACGTTTGACGGTTGGATCGTTGAAAAAAGTTTCGTAGAATGCATATTGCGTCAAAACAGTAGATTAAACAAACACTTAGAGTTAATATTATACTTCTATTAAGTATAAAAAAAGATTTTGTGGTATCTACTAGTGTAAATACTTTAAATTAAAGATCAAATTTATTCATTACATTCTTATATGGTCGAGGAGTGTATCTATAAAAAATCATCAAAATCGGAGCTAAAATAACCGTTAAATTGTGATTTTTCGTTTATAACCGTCGAAAACTTTTGTTCCGTTACGTAATCTCTGAATGTTTGTTTTTTACGATTTTTTATGTATGCGATCTCGGAATGTGTACAAATAAGTTTGATGGTTTGATCGTTGAAAAAAGTTTCGTAGAATGCATAATGCGTCAAAACAATAGATTAAACAAACACTTAAAGTTAATATTATACTTCTATTAAGTATAAAATAAGTTTTTTTGTGGTATCTACTAGTGTAAATACTTTAAATTAAAGATCAAATTTATTCATTACATTCTTATAGGGTCGAGGAGTGTATCTGTAAAAAAATCATCAAAATCGAAGCTAAAATAACAGTTAAATTGTGATTTTTCGTTTATAACCGTCGATAACTTTTGTTCCGTTGCGTAATATTTGAATGTTTGTTTTTTTACAATTTTTTACGTATGCAATCTTGGAATGTGTACAAATAAGTTTGACGGTTGGATCGTTGAAAAAAGCTTGTCATTACGAGTGTTTATATATTTTTTCTATATTTTTTTACACTTCTACATTAATTAAAAAACTATTAAAGACTTTAGGTAAGCGAAAATATACTTAAAACAAAATTGTGTTTTTATGTTTTGGATGTGATAATATGGAATGTATATACTTATTTAGTATTATGTTTTTCATTTGATTATTTATTGGTTTAAAATATATTTTCCTTAACGGGTAACGGGTCGGGTCATATTACCTGTTAATATTATCGGGTCGATTTCGGGTCGGGTCATTTTACCCGTTTATTTTAACGGGTGTTACACGACACGACCCGTTAAGATATCGGGTATGACACGAAAACGACACGAACACGGAAAACACGACACGAATGCCAGGTCTACTTTTAATGATGAAATTTATGGTTAGTCTCAAGGCTTCTACACGTCACGAGTTTCTAGTCGTACGTTATTACAACCAAAGCTAAGTAAAAATGCGGAGAATTTATTTAATTAGAATTATAATACAATACAATCATTTTCTAAAGGATAATGCTATTCACACACTTCTCAATTTTCGGTTGTCGATTTGAATGAATTGAAGAAGATCAATGGTAAAAAATTAACGTGGGTGTGTGGAAGTAAAAATAAATATGTGAATAACACTATCATTTCTAAATCAATACCCTTAATCACCTTACTAAGCTATGAGGAAGAATTTATGTTACAACCCCAATATAATTTATGGTTAGGTCTGTCTTCCGTTAAAAAAATTAAGCCCAGCATGGTGCACCAAAAACATCAC